GACCTCAGGCGTTCTGAACCGCCTGCAGAAGACTTCACAATATAATAAGGAGCGATATGCCCTTGTTGCTAATGTGCATGGGGGACCAGGGGGAGTGATGAGCGAATCAGAACTTGCCATGTGGCCTGAATTCAGCCTCGCGTGAACCAATGGCCAATGATGCCGTCAAAAAGACTGAGAAGGTCAGCTCTTGATGCGGTGTTGGTGGAAGGAGAAAAAGTACTTTTCTTTTCCAGCAATTAATTGGTGGATAGGATAATGTGTCCTCCTCATTGCCCGTCTATCCTTGTGGCTCCTTCTATGGGTCAAGTTTCAACGCTGGTTACTATTTTCATAGAGGCGGCAAAACCTTGTCCATGCGTGACAGAATGGATTGAGGTTACAAGGACGAGAGGCACCCGTCGTACTGGCGCTTGTCTATATTAGATTTCTCTTTCTAATTGGTACCCAGATACGAAGATTCAGAGCTGGAGAATAGAAGAAAATAATATCCACGTGTGGTGATGCTCTCTTGACCTTCTGTAACCCGACTTCACCATCGTTTTCATTAACCCATTTTATTTATTGTGAAGTTCAGAATCATTTCTATTGTTATTGCTTAAGTTACTGCTTTAAGTGCCTATCCCCTCGTCCGTAGATTCTTGCAAAGTCAGCGCGGTATTCAAAAGGCCTTCATTATTGGATTAAACACCTCTCTAACCACTGAAAGTAGTAGCATCTCCATCATTTTGGTCTGAAAGACGGGATCGACAGCTTCGACGCTGACACCGGTATCGCTCTGAGGCATGGCGAATACATCGACGACTCTAACGGTAAATTCATTTACAAAGTCTCCAAGCATGAGACCCATGACTTCCATGGGCACACCGGCCCGGCCATGTCGAAGCATCTTGAGGAGGGCGAGGGAGGTGCATTGATTTGAAAGTTCTCTCAATTCTAAAATAAATAACATACTTTATAAGCGAGCCGGACATATAAGCGAGCTGGAAGAGCTGCAGTCCGAATCAGGCTCGGCGTTGTTTTTGCAAGAGGGAAGGCACCACGCTTTTGAGGGTGCATGGGGTGGTCAAACCTTAGGGGCGGAAGCGTAGATAAGAGGCCACGCCTTTGAGGATGAGCTGGGTGATGAAAATGGCACCATACAGTCGCAGGGAAGGGAACAAGTCTCAGGATGATCGTTACAGTTAAACACAATTACCGCGAAATTCTCTACCTCCGAGGGTATTTGGTCAACTGGAGTATTGTCATTGGACAGGAGGCGGGGAGCGAAGCGGGAAACGAGGGGCTTCAGAACAGGGAGGCAGGCACAGGTTATGCTCATATTGAGCTCAATGGCGGACCAGTAGCCCGATGATACTCCGTCCCAGGACCGGTCTTTGGATTTGGATAAGATGTATAAAGCGTGTAGACGAAGAATGGACATTAGGCATGTGCTATAATTTTGTTGCTTCGTGAGTCTGTGGTTTGATTTGGATGGAGCATGGGATTTTTAACCCCTGATTTTTTGAGGAATCCAAAATGGGGAGAAATAAAACCGAAATCGACGGGTTACACTTACAAGGCACCTAGCGATAGAACTATAAGCAAGGAAATCCTCTGTTTCTTGGGTATACGGAGTTTCCAAATGTAAGGTATCGGAAAGAGGAGGACGGTAAAGTCGGTCGCAATATTCCAGCATTAGAGAAAAGTGCGCTTTAGCAGTTAGGACGAGGCAAACAGATAGCCAGAGTTGGGGTCATACGCATATTGGTTGACGCATTTTTTATTCTGCGAATTGACGATGGTTCAGTAAAAAGCCTCATATTTTGAGTACGCCCGAATAAATGATGCTCGTACCTTAATTCTAATATCCCAATACGCCTGCACTGGTATGCACAAGAGGATTCTTGAAATAATCGTTGAAATAAAATACAGCACAACAACCACCATGGCAATGGTGGTGGCGATCTTCATTCGATTATAGACAAGGACTCGTCGGTACAGAATGAGAATTGCCAGCTTCGTTGAGGTAAGCCCAGCATTATAGCAATGTATGCTAGGAAGTAAGGCATGAAATATACAGATAAGTTTGCGGTAGTAGTTACGGGTGACCGATAAGTTTGCGGTAGTAAAGTGGATGGCCGGCAGAGATACGGCCCACCAATAAGAAGTAGACAATCACCTCTATCGCTAGACCATGCCCATACTCCAAATGATGGTTCACGCCAGATCTAAAACCAAAGCAAGCAGAGTGCAACCGGAGCCGAAGGCGATGGCAGGCTAGCTGCGCAACGCGAGGCAAGGATGACCCGATCACTAAAGACTTACACGCAAACATGAAAACCCAACGCAGGAATGGACCCGAAGGATTGGAAAAAAAGGCCAAAAAAAAAATACCGCCCAGCATTGATTGATTGATTGATTGATTGGATCAGCTACCCTGACCTCTCCCTCATCGGGATATGCAGGCTACCACTATTACTGCTACTCTCATCTATCCTTTCTAGTCTAATTACATGCACGATCTTAATGCCTCGTCAGGGCCTGTGGCTGATCTACTCTAGTTGTCTCTGCCTTGGAATCTTTCCGAGCTCTCAGCGAAGTCTAGGATCGCATCGAGGTCCCCTCTACTGATTTTCCATTCCGTCCCATTTATTGTCCAGTTTGGTGGTTTACCCCCTAGCATCAGGGATATATTGTTGAACCTGTCCCCAATCTTTTGTCGCAGAACCCGACGTTGTTGCTGCAGTCTCGGGCAGTCTACTAGGACGTGATGGACCGATTCTTTTGCTCCACATTCACATTTGTTGTCGTCAGCGTATTTTATTCGGTTTCGGAATTCATTCAGCCATGAGTGGCCCGTTCTGAGTTGCGCCAGGAGTCTTGCTCGAGGCCTTGGAAGGGTGGCATATAGACGGCGGGTATGTTGGCCCGGGAGGGCTGCGTCTATCTTCCGCAGGTGAGTCCCCTTTGCCGTTGAGGACCATTCATCTCTCCACTCCTGTGTGGTGCTGTTGCGGCTGGCTTCCCTAAGGTGTGAGGCAGGCTTTGGGAAACCACGCGTTGGGTTTGGGTTGATTGACTGCTTAGCGAGCTGGTCGGCCATTTCATTTCCCTTGATTCCACTGTGTCCTGGTACCCACTGGAGGCAGAGGTCTACGCCTATGGATCTCAGCTCTTTTGTTGTGTGCAGAATGTTCTGGACTATCTGTCCTCCGACTTGTTTTGAGGAGTTTGCGATGGCTCGAAGAGCGGTACGGGAGTCGCTGAGGATGGTGTATGTGTGGCGCTGGTGGGGGGTCGGTGTCCCCTCACTTGAGTGAGATCTCCATACCAGGTAGAGTCCATGGTATATCGCTAGCAGCTCAGCCGTTGTGACAGTCCAGTGCTTTTCCCGCCCAACACCAACTTGTATGCCATACTGGATGTGGTATGATTCGTCCATGATCAGCGCCGCTGCTCCAAGCGCCGAATTCTCCTTTGCGGCATCGGTGAAGACTGCCTTGGTTGGGTTCTCCATTATTTTCGTAGCTCTCTCAATGGCTCTGGCCCTGTCGGAGTCGAGGTAGATGCCTTTGAATACTGGCTTCTGCCATGGTTCCGGGGGGCATGGGTCGATTATCTCTATTGGTTCCAGCTCCTCCCTGTGGAACATTCTCATCGTGTCCTCTAGTGGGTAGTAACATCTGTTTCCATTGCAGGTTGCACCTGCCATGGCCCTCCTGAGGGGCCCATGTATCGGGTGAGATTGTGGGAGTGTGCGGAGGCTGATGACAACATCCCGGGCTCGCTGTCGCAGCCGGGCGCGTATGGGGGGGATGTGCGCCTCCATTTCAAGAGTTTGTGTTGCCACCGTTCGGAATGTGGACAGGATCCTGATCAGGGCCGTTCGCTGGACCTTGGTGAGAGCCTTGACTTGTGTGGCTCCCTTTAAGGGGTTGTACCATACCGTGGAGGCGTATGTCAATTTAGGGACTACACAGGCAGTGTAGAGCTGCCTCATTTGTTCTGGCCGTAGGTGGGACAGGCGTCCGATGGCGACACATGTGTTGGTGGCCCTCTTGACCATATATTGTGTGTGTGTTTTCCAATTTGGTTCCTGGTCAAAGTATACTCCCAAGAGCTTGACCTCTGGTGATGGTGAGATGGTGTGTCCATTCATCATGATGGACCCCGTTGTTTGGTCTCTTTTTCTTCCGGTGAAATGGATCAGCTCCATCTTCTCGGCCGAGAACCGTGAGCCAGTCCGTCTCGCCCATTCTTCGATTCTAGGGACATCTATCTGTTGGATCTTTTGCAGATTACTTTCTGCGTTTGGTCCGGTTCTCCAGCGGAAATAATCATCTATAAAGGCGGATGCGCCTCCGTTATGGTCTACCGGTTGGTCGACCAGGTCCGAGTTGAAGATGGTGAAGAGGATTGGGGAGAGGGGAGATCCTTGGGCAAGGCCAGCGTTAGGAAGCGAGGCTACCTCGGTGCTGAAATCGTCGAATTTGATATTGGCGGACCTGTTTTCCATGAAGCTTTGGACCCATCTTCGTGCTATCTGAGGGATTCCCATCTCTCTGAGCCTGGCCTCCAATGTGTCTTTATTTACCCCATTGAAGGCCCCTTTGATATCAAAGGAGACTAGGGTCAGGACCCTACCGCGTTTCCGGGCCTGGTCGATGGCGCTGGCCAGAACTAGAAGTGCCTGTTCCGTAGTTCTGCCTGGTCTGGCTCCGATTTGTGCGTTTGGGAGGAGGTTATATTTCTCTGTGTAGTATGTAAGGCGTTTCGCGATCACTCCCTCCAGAACCTTTCCCAGTGTGTTGAGGAGTGAGATCGGGCGGTATGCTCCAGGGACCGAGTAGTCCGGTTTCCCCGGTTTCCGCAGTACTATAATCACCGCAGTCTTCCATCTTGTTGGGTAGTGTCCCAGTCTGATTGATGCTTCGAAGATCTGATGTATGAGTTTCGACAGGTATTTCCACAGATTCTTCCACACTAATGCTGGGAGACTGTCATTCCCGGGGGCTGATTTGCTTTTGGTCCTCGCCAGTGTTGCCAGGATCTCTTCCTCCGTGATCGGCTCCCAGGGCAGTTCCTCCCGGGTGGGGGTGGGGGGTTCTCTCGGTGAGGATGTAGCTGGAGGAAAGAAACTTTTCAGTAGTATTTGAGCTTTGTCTTTGTTGTCTGCATATTCAGTGTCCTCCACCACCAGGGGAGGAATGTTGGCATAATTGTCTGAGGGGCAGATGTATCCTGCTGCTTTCCAAAGGTGGTTGCCCGCACTCGCTTTGTCGAGGAATTCTTTCCAGTGTTCTCGCTTGGCTTTCTCTATTGTTCGAGTCCATTCCCTGCGCTTCCGCAGCGCGTCCAGGTGTAGGGCTTGGGGGTTGGGTGGTCGCTTCCCCGCTCAACGCAACTGGCCTGCCACCTCCTTCGGCGTCCGTTGCACTCGGACTGCTGTATTTTCAGGTCTCGGCTGAACCAGCGTTTGGCGTAGGGAGATGGTCTTGCGTGCGGGGTGTGCTTGTCTATTTCTGCTGTTGTCGTTGTGATTAATCTGCCAACTATTGCATCCAGCTGAGCTGTTGATTCGATCCACGGTATATGGTTCGCCTTCTCTACAGCTTTGCCAATTTCTTCCCAGTTCGCTTGGTCAAAAAGTCTGCGTGGCTGGCTTGGATCTTTCTGTTTCAGTTGCAGATCCCATTCCGAGTAGATCGCTAGGTGGTCGGAGCCATAGTTGTCTTGGTAGGGATGGCATTTGAGTAACTGATGTGGGACGTTACTGAGTGTGAGGTCGAGTGTGGAGTGTGTGCCTGGGTGGCTCGCTGACCAGTAGGTGGCAGTACCAGATGGGAGACAGCTATGGAGTTCTTGAGCCTGTATGAAGTCCAGGAGGCTCCCGGTGTCTCGGGCTCGTCTTCGGTTCACCTGGATTCCACCCCACATCTGATGATGTCGGTTGAAATCCCCTGCGATGATCAACATGGTTGCGGGTGAGAGTCGGATTGTCCGGCTGATTTCGTTTAAGGTCTGGTGTATCGGGTTGTCTGCCGGGTCGAATGGTGGGATGTATGTGGAGAAAATCAAGATCTGGCTTTCTCCTATTTGGAGCTCGATTGCTGTGACATCTGGGCTGTGGCATCGCCTCTGCCGGTATGCCGAGGTTGATACGCGCTTGTTGACGTATATTGGACTGCGCCCCGTGGCGTGTGTTTCAGTGCATGATGTTTGAAACACCCTCCAGTGTGTGTGTTGTATTGGTGTTGTATAATATGTGAAGGGGGGTTCTTGTACGAGTAGCACCTCCAAGTCTCCAATTTTGCGGTCATTGAGGAGTGCTTCCATGGTCGGACGTTTTTGTTGGCGTTTAGTTGTAAAATCCGTAGTTTTTGTGTTAACATTGAAGGCTGGTGATATTGGCTCTCGATTTGCACTCTGTTGCTCCTGTCGGGTGGCGTTCTGCGCAGTCTGCGCATTTAGGAGTCGATTCTCGAGGGCAGTTAGCTGTGTTGTGCTCTCGCGTGCAGAAACCACATCGTAGTCTCTCTTTGCAGTTCCAGGCCAGGTGGCCAAAGGCCAGGCATCTCTGGCATCGTTTCTTCTTGATCTGATATGCCTCAATGCTGCCTATATATCGATGTCCAAACACCGTTCCATTGTTTACCGCCCATTCGGCAGCTTCCGCACTGTCGAACCATATTCCAAGTGACGCCGACGCGCCCAGCGTGGATTCCCTCTTCTTGAGCCATGCGATTTCTTCTATCTTGTATCCCTTTCGGGCGAGCTCATTTTCCTCTGTTATCTTCTTCATGCTTTGTGGTTTGTCCTCAGTGCGACTTCATGTGTGGGTGTCCGGTGTACTACCACACCAAATCTGGGTCTAACCAGCTTTGTTTGGTTTCCCAGGTTCCGGAGCCACCCCTCGTTCACGCTGGCAGTGTCTTCGGAGGCTTCATCCCGGAAGCGGATGATGTACCCTGTTTTTGTGGTTCCTACCCCGATGATCTCGACTCCTTCGGTTGGCGTATTCTTTTGTAGGGCGTCTGTGACCCTCGCTTTGACCTCTTCCACGGGGAGATATCTTGTGAGGGATCCTCCATAGTCCATGGGGTCGGAAGCCTGTGCCGCACTGATACGGACGCAGAGCGGGGGGTCTTTCCTGTCGACTTTTGTAGACGCGGGCGTTGGAGCCAGTGGAGGGGTTGAGGATTCGCCATTCGTTCCGCTGTTGGAGTGATCCGGTTATGTGTCACCTGGGTTCTCAAAGCAGTATCTCATCTTTAAGCTCGAGTTTGCCTGATAACTCTTTCTGGTCTGCTTTTAACTCTTCACACGCTTGTTTTGAGAGTCTCCACAACCTGGCCTTGTTGTGCAATTATTCCTTTCAGCTCGGTTACAAGCCATGCAATTTCGTCAAGTTTGTTCGGGCGTCCATCGCTGTTGCCTGTGAATTCAATGTTTGGGGTGCCATTTAGCTGGACGGCCGTGAGGGAGTCGGTTTTCTTCCGCTTGCGTGTCGGTTTCTGCGCTTTTGGTTGGGTCGCATACTGGCGCGTCGTTGAATTAAAGTTGATACACGTTGCATCCTCGGTTCGGGGCTCCACATTCGGCTGTTCCCCGTCGTTTACCACACTTCTCGACATCGACCGAGTCACCGCAGCCAGCGGTAACTGATCTATCTCGCTTTCGATGTTTTCTAGCATCTTCAGCAGCAACCTTTTTCCGCCCAGCACGGTCCGGACCAGAAGGACGCCAAGACGTGACTTGGGTCAATAAAGCTTTCGGCCCGTATTATCAGGGCCAGGAGCACGCCAAGCCGTGATCTCAGTAAACCCCACGTCTTGGCGTCACTTCCCCTAGTTAGTAAAAAAAATCAAATTTGGCTTAGCATCATACTGGCCCGTTTAGCGTGGTGATCATTTCTCGGATTTTCCATACAGCCCATGAAGTCCACTTTCCTGAGTAAAAAACTCTGGACCTCCTTGGTTATGGTGTAGCAGCCTCTTTTCCCTTTAAGAAGTTGCCCGAGGCGGAACAGCCCAGCCATGTTGCCTCTAGTACGAATGCTGGGTGTTTGACGGGAGCGTGATATCCGCTTACTTATTGTTTGATTTATAAGGAGCGAAATGCCATGCTCGTGAGCGGTTGGAGCAAAATGATCTGGGATCTTCAGGCAGGAGTGGTGCTCGAATCTTTGTTTCCAAATGGTCAGCTAGCTAACCAGTAAGGGATTAGCGCGGAGGCTACGGGACCGAGATCTTCCAATCAATTGTCGTAACGTTGCCGCCGCCGCTGCTCCACCGCAGCCACTCCGATGACCAGCTAAAATTGACATCCTTCATCCTCGTTTCACCTCACTTGCCCCTAACACTATCACGATGCGCATACTGCGTCCCGACAAAAGGCTTGGCCCAGTGTGGGCTTGTGCGCAGAATCGCCCTTTGCCTTGTTTTTGAGTCTGCTACCACCTCCCGCGCTGCGCTCCCTTGATGGCACCTAATCATCCAAGTGATATGCGTTATCACATTTGCTCTATGAGTTTGGTGGCTTCCCCCAAGGGTTCTAATCACACACAGGGAAACATGCGATGCGGCGCAGCAGCAGCATTAATTCCCAAGGCTGCTGGGGATTCTCACCTGCCTCTTTTGGCCGACGACAAAGCTTCTGATTCGGCCAGGATAACCGCCCCTCGAGAAATTCATGGCAGCACTGCCTGCATATGCAACCTGTTCGTGCATCATCGCGAGGCCGTAAACGAATAGGATAACCTCCAAGCGTGACAACCCAAAACCCTTTCAGGGGCTCCGAGTTCGTCCGACGCTGCCAATGGCGCTATGCGCCAGTCATCCTCTCCTGTCGGCCATTCTGCCGGGTCATTGGTTTTGGTTCTGTGTGCTTCCGTCAGAGGCATCAGAGGGATTTAAAGGCCGCGACTCCCGAATTCCCAATGTCGGAAACATCGTCCATTCACTTATTTTTTGCCTCTCTATTACTCAAACTACATATTCTCGACGAATCAAAAAGGCAGAAGCTCGATCATTTAACCGGTTTTCCACCACCAGAATTCTGGGACAACCTGTCGAAGATTTGGCTAACCCATCATTGACACGCGCTACCATGGCTAAATTGTAGGTCACCACCCGTACCTCTCTCAATCGTTGAACCAATTAGTAGCCTCTCAGTCCATAAGGCTGAAACATACTAACACCACATAGCCTGTTTTCATTGCTAGTCCAGCTCGCTAGGTATTCCCCATGAGGGATCAACATTTGTCTACAATCTTTTAGCGGGGTCTTCATTCCTTGACGCTGCCTCCTAAGAGTGAGTCACCTTCGAAGTAGAAGCCTCACATCCAATTATTTCCTTGGCAACTCCATATGCGCAGGAATAGCTTCGCCAACCAAATCTACTCATCCTCCACTATTAGCCCAACAAGCGTTATGGCTGCGCAACACGAGGAGCTATCACGAACTCCTCTGACCGCAGCAAATGTGTGGACCATGCTGAAGGAACTGCGGCCTATGTTTGTCAGTGCGTTCGGGCCTCCTGTGCTTGTGACTCATGGTTCCATCTTATGATCTATGCTGTGCCATTTGCCCATCTTCAAGCCTAGCAGCGGCACAGTGCCAGTGTTGCCTAGACAGCAACCAATACGATTTCACCACATTTCACCACTAGCAGCTTGATTATTGGAGACAATATTTGAAGAGATGAATCACATAACCCTGTTGGTGTTGGTACCTTACCAGGATCTCAGTGGCTGTTGGTTGGAGCCAATGAACCCTTCCTTGGCATTATATCCTCACCGTGCCGGCGCATAACTTGGTGCGAGGCAGAGCAAGAGGCGGAGCAAAGTATTGGGTGCCAGGTAACAATGGAGGAGTGCGTCCTCTGCATCAGACCAGCGTTGCGGCGCTTAGTCCTATCGCATTTTTTAAGCATAAATAGACCTAGTCTGCCAGCCATGCGATGTTCACTTCTGCAACTCTATCTAACTGACTATCCTTACTCAATAATCCTTCACAACCGCATTTGCCTTGAATCGTCTCTTTACAGCTATCCGCTGGAAGCCTTAGCCACAATGTACAGAGCCTGCCAAGCCATCAAGAATATCACTACCTCTGCCGGAAAACAAATCGCCGTCGCATACGTCACGAAGACCGACACTTGGGAACGCACGTTTCTTTCCCAGACCATCCAAAACGAGTTCACTACGGTTGCTGAAAAGTACAAAGACACTCTGAAGCCCGAGACCGTCAAAGTGGCCATGAAGTGAGTCCTGTGTCCAACAGCTGTTAAAGTCTCTTCTCTTACAGATTTTCCAGGGAGGCGGAGCATCCGAGCCAAAGCGATCCCGCAAGGCATTTCACCGTATTCGAGCTCGACAAGGATGAAAAAGTCGTTGCATCGAAGCACTACTATAAGTGAAGGACAGCGATGGTGCTGGGGAAACTTGGATTATTCGTCGGCAAGGGAAGGACAAGAAGCCAGGGCGGCAAGAAAGTATGTGATGATTGATGCTGGCACGAATTGGATGGTCTCGGGGTAGCTAGCTAGATAAGATGAAAAAAAATACGATCGTTAGCTACGCGTGATTGTACTGTACACAGAGCTCGAGGTTGAGATGAGATTTTCCATAGTTATAACGGAGGTTTGAAACTAAATGATGGCCTAGCTCCCCTTCGTGTTAGGTAATCCAACTCACCCCTATGGCACGTGTCCCACCATCGCCTGTTGGAAGTCTGAGGACTGTATTGCTGGACGCTGGTCCAATCTACCTACAAGTCACGTGATATAACCAGGCCGCATGGCAAGGAGTCTTGGCAAGTGCCGAAACCAACCTCCAAGCACCTACCCTCGCGCGGGGTCTAATCTTTCGTTTTTAATTCATTCCTTCCGTGTTGTTTACCTAAATGGCTAGTGCATAATCCGGGCCAAAACAGACAGCGACGAAACCTACGTTGGTCGAGTATTTTCGCTACATCTCTTGTCAAAAATCTCAACCTCTCACACATTTTGGGGCGAATATGGCACCTCCACCCAGTGAATTGATCGGTGCTGCTGGACGTCGCTATCTCTTCAAGCAACTGATTCAGGAGAGACCACATCTCGGTCGCGTTTGGTTGGCAACGTGCGAGCATACCCGCCCCATCATGTAGCGCAGCTTGTTGAACTGACAATGCTCCAGATCCGGACAAGGCAAATTCGTCTTGAAGGACATTCCCAAGGCCATTTTCTCAAGCTTTAATGAGGACATACGCCCGCGGCTTCCTGAAAGTCCATTTCTACGGCTACCCCATGACACAATTCCGGATCAGCGAATATTCGTGTACAGGTACATGAATGATGACTTTCTGAGTCTTGTTAGAAAGCAAATATCCATGCAAGCCAGGAAGCAGATCCTAAAAGCCAGCTTGCGAGGGATTGCTGAGCTGCACAGCCATGATATTGTCCATTTAGGTGAAGTAAGCGCTCTTCAGTTCCATAATCTAGAACTAATTGCTTCCAGATATCAAACCTGACAATATCATGGTCAACTACCGCGGTACTGGTCCAGAGCCAATTGTTGAGCAGGTTCAGATCATCGATCTCGAAAATGCAGCTTATCTCCCTAAAGGGAGGTGCATTAAAGGGATGTTAGCTGGCAATGATAGCTGGCGCAGTCCAGAGGGCCACTTCAAGGGCGAGCTTAACAAGCCTTCTGACGTCTTTTCCTTCGCAGCCGTGGTAGGTTACCGCCCCCTTGAGAGAAGGCTCTATCCAGCTAACCTGCTCAGTGCATCTATGCTATGCTCGGACAAGTCATCTTCGGAGCCGATGAGGATTTACAGAAACACGAATCGCAGGGTGCATTCCCTCACGTCATTCGCCTGCAACGTCAAGTTTCTTTTTTTGGAGATCGAGAAGGATTGAATGGACTCATGACACACGTTGGTGACGAGGAAGTCAACTGCCAGGTTCTGGGATTTCTTTGGGATGATCGGGTGGCAGATTATCATTCCTACAAGCCATTCTCAGAGTGGCCGAGTGTCACCGACGACGAGTTCAAGGATCTCATCCGGAGAATGACGAACTTGGATCCTCAAAAGCGGGCAACAGCGCGCGAAGCGTTGGAGCACCCCTGGTTTGCTGGTTGTGAGATTTATTAAGCGTCTTGGAGAGCATGGTCCCCCGAACATTGCAGACCTCACAATTCATGAAGAGGGACAGGCAGACATTTCGTCTTTCAGAGGTCTCATTCTCCTCACCAATCCTTCCCCGTCGCTCTTTTACAAACCCTCCCTGCTCCTAAGACAAACTCCCCTTTGGTGAAAGAATCACTACTGTCCCTACCTGTCTAGACACTGCTTTCCTAGCCGACCTCTTTTTAGTTATGCAATTCAAAGTGGCTGGAGCCTCTCTGTTGGTTAAATAAAACACACAGTAATACTATTTTCTTGTGACTGTATTCTCCTACATACTCTCCCAGATAGTTCTCAATACTAGACAAAGCAGACCAGAAGGCAAAGGCACTCAATGGGAAGAACATGCCAGAGACATTGCCAGATGCACCGTTCAAGGTGAAATCTACAGTTCCAAGGATTGCACGCAGGAAGCTTCTTAGTGATGAGGGGACGTGGACCCGAGCATAAATCGTATCTACGGCAACTTGACGGGAAAAGAAGCCTTGATTTTGAGCCAGTTAGGTACAGACAGGCTGAACTCCTACCTCCATCGGATCAAGGTAATAGATTCCGAACAATGTGCCTGGGGACGAGAGAAAGAGACTGTGTCCGGCATAGTGCGTAAGTATGTGGTCATCGCCATGGATTCAGCTGCTCAATGACTTTCTCATGCCCATTCCATGCTGCCCAGTATAGCGGTGTCCATCCATAGTTATCTTTTGAATTCACTTCCACTTCCTTCTTTGCCACTAGCAGCTCGACTTTCTCATGTCCATTCCTGTGCAGGATGAGCAGTAGAAGCGCAGATCGACGACTACTGGCTGCCCTGGAACAAGGAAGGATGGGGAGGGGGAAATATACTCTGGAGAATTCTTTATGTCTTGCGCACGTTACATATCGGTCCATATACATACATATATATATATATAATCTTTCTTTCCCATTTACGACACCCTAGCGCGCACCGTTCTCGCTAGAATAGGCTCTCGACGTCGACTGGCCTAGGGCCTAAAGCATACTTAGAACAGAGAGTGTGCTACCAAAATATTTAGGGTCTAACACCTTGATGTCAAGAATCAACCAACGAACCCGGTAGAACTATGCTTCTGTAGCTTTAATATCATCAATAGCCTTTTCGAATGCTTGAATGATTGGCACATTGGTCAAGTATTCAACAACATCAGGACGAAGCATCTCCGGAGTAAAGCCATAAACATCTTTGGCATTTGGATCGGCCCCCTTCTCAAGTAGATATCGGATCGTGTCCGGCATGCCACATTGATATGCCAGATGAAGTGGCGTCATTCCTCCGCCATCTCGAGCACCTATATCGGCCCCTCTTTTCACCAGAAGAATAGCAATCCCGAGAGAGAAGCTGCTAGAGTCTATGTGCAATGGAGTCTGCTTTTTGTATTCGACGATGGATGTGTCCGCTCCACAGTCCAATAATATCTCCGCCACAGCCTTGTGATTGCGTAGAGCTGCCGAATGCAACGCGGTCCTACATAGAAAGTTTTGTGCTGAGCAATTGGTGTTCTTTTCCAACTGCTCTTTCACTTTCTGGACATCACCCGCATCAGCTGCATTTATGAGGACTATCTCATCATTGAATGAAGTGAGATCAATCCGGCAAGTGGGGCACAGGCCGTCCAGTGTCGACGCTGACAGGCAATCGTCGTGCAGCCAGTGGTTACAACATCGAAGCCTGACCATTTCATCACCAGCTTTCCAACCTTCAAAGCATATGTAGCATGTGTTATCGTCATCATCATCATCTGCGCTCGCGAACTTTCGTATAACGTACGTATCAGACAACCGGCTGGGATGGCCATCGCGTGTATGCTGTTCAGAGGCGTTCATGATTTCGGTCGATATAGAAGCGGGGAGCGGGTAACGAAGAACGGCAGGGAGATGTCCCTCTTGGAGACACTTCACAATAGGACAGCGAGAGTCAGCTTTTTGCTATGGATGACTTCCGAATGGATTCTTGGATGGACCGTTTTCGATATGACTTTTCACGGAAAAGTTAAAGTTAGAATAAGGACCAGGAGTATTTCGCAACCTAATTGTTACGAATCACGCCGGGCCGGATTGTTCCGTCTTTTATGGGTAGTCTTATTAGGGGTTACTAGATTGTTTCTCGGGAGATGCTCCTCTTATGCGTATTCTTTTAGTCATCTCTTCATTTCACGCCCATTTTACAACCTTATTTGATTTCAAGATGTATTGTTGGATTGTCTTTCAAGGATTTTAAAGAGGCATAATCCGTACTGCGTTTTCCGTACCTCCAATGTTATACCGGAGGACTATCTTTAGTCTATGTAAAGTTACCTAATATGGAACAAAAATCATCCCTGCTGCAATGACCTTCTATTTGAGATAATCTATCTATTATGGACGGTTCTATCCAACTAACACAGAACTTACGCCTCACCTAGAGTGACGAACGTCCTCGCGGTGTCTTTTGGCTGCCACAGCTACTCCACTACAGGAACCTACAGGTAACATTGCACACAGCTCAAAGGTATATTTTGTGTATCAAAGCAGCATGGTCTTTGAAATGTGTGATGCCCCACAGATTCTCTGAGCAGGCCGGATGGGGACATGGAAAACAAGCATCTGAGGCAAGAAAGCGGAGATGGCAATCATACACATGCCTCCGAAGCTTATCTGGACGCGAGAATGAATACGGCCTTGAATTAGTTGCCCGCTGTTCGTTCCCAAGGCAAAAGAGGCACTGGGTCGCCGGACAGACGATAGGGGTCATATCACCGTCTATCGGGCTGGCCTCCTCTTTCAACCCTACGAGTTCGCGAGGTGGATCCCCCTGCTTGTAAGGGATCCCTTGCAGGCCACAGAGCGCGGTCCAGTCATGGATTACCTGCATCCGATGACGGTGGGGTTTATCCTCCTCCGCAGCGGAGCTACCGAGAGATCGAAAGAGACTGCGTGCAAGTCGGGCTCGTTCGACACAGGTAAACTGAGCGACGGAATCTTCCACCTTGAGATCGTCGGTGAGCGACAGTCCAAGAAGCTGACGTTCGATCTCGATGGTGTCGATCTTGGCAAAAAAGTCCTCCCGGATGTTGTCACGCGCAAGTTTCCTCAAGAATCGCCTCTCACTCTGAATAGTTTTTTCAAGCTTGCTATGCTGGGCGTGGAGTTCTGTACCCTGGGCCTTGGGGACCGATCCGTATTGGTATCTTATATCACTTACCAGGTCCTGCTTCTGGCGGTTGAGTTCAGCAAGATGGGGATCATGTTCGATTGCGGCCTTCTGCTCGTCAGTCAGCTCCTTGGGGACCCTCGGGTCCCGCGTCAAGCTCATCATTCCGACAGCGCGGATGACCGACTCGCGCGCCGGACATCCAAGATACGCGGACTGCACATCGCGTTTCACCTTCTGTGAGAGGTAATAGCGTTCAAAGATGTCAGCCCGGGAATGGCCCAGCACCTGGTTCCGCTCTGCTGCCGTTGCGACATCTATCCTCAAGTGTCAAGTGTTAGCACGCGCCGACTGGGAATATGGAGGCTCAACCAGCAGCTTACCGTCCACCGCATTTGCCGTGGCCCTCCTGATGCAGTAAGGAGTCAGTGGCTCTTCGAGTCCCGAGTTGCGACCCAGCCGCTGAAGGTACTGATTGAACGCATCGTACGGTAATGCACGATCGGGCGAGATGCGCACTCCGTGTGCGGTGTGGTAGGTGCGGCGAAAGATAGGTATATCAAGCATCTCGGGTCTCCACCTCAGCTGTAAGCTGTTCCGGTAAGGGGGAACCTCGATACGAAAGATATCCTCCGGAGTGTTGATACCCTGTGCCTCAAAGGCTCGATCCGCGAGCGCCAGCGAAAGAAAATGCGAGATCGGACACAGAGCCGGGTTGTCGTCCCGCTCGTGGAATATGTAGGTTGTCCTAAGCGGAGAGGTCAATACAGCCATACGGCCAAGCCAGGCGTGACGCCGGCAGTACGGGGAGGGGATGTACGGCTGGGATTTGTTTCTCTTTCCCTTCATAAACATCAGAGTCACCTCCATGACCAGAACGTGACGCTCCAGTTCCTCCGGGTTGGGGATGACACGGAGCACCACATCCCGGTATCGCAGAGCGTCGTTGGAGCCCCGGACGCAGCCGCTCTCGGTGAGCGCACCTGGACGAGAGGATGTGTAAGCGGTCATCAGCATCAGCAGCGGCAGCTGCACTGTATACCGCTCGTGCGGGACCGCCGCCGTGTCCAAGCACCAGTGGTAATGGAGGACGGACAGCAGATCCTCAACACTGAGGGTGGGCTTGCATTCGACCGAGAGGTCCAGATTGTATTCATCCGTCAACGGACCCAGGATAAACTACACGCAAGGTAAAGGCAAGTCAGATACGGGAACTAGAGGCCTGGGATGGGGAGGTGGGACTCACCTCGCTGACTTGCTCCCCAACGATCTCATCCATCTTCTTTCCAGCGACTCTCTTGTAGAGCAGTCGGAGGAATTTCCACTCCACCCAGATGGTGCTCTGCTTTGTGACATTGAACTGGCTCAATCTCCAGTCGGCATAGCGTCTAAAGTTCTCTCCTGCGCATGCGGTGAGATAGGAGTTGCTGTCAACCCCCATGAAAGCACAAAAGCTATGGAAAACAACATCAGCTTGATCTCCTACGCATCGCAGCAGGGCTTACCGATCCCAAAATCTCTGCACACGGTCGACAGCCTTGGTTGTGGCATCGGCATACTTTTTGCCGGTGACCAGGAACCGAGCCACTCGCGCGGCATCCCTCGCGTGGTAGTCCTCGGGGGTAAGCTGCGGCCGCCCCAACTTCAACCGACGGTAAGATGCCCTGGCCGATTTACCTTCTACAAATCGGAAGCGCTGGACGGCCATCCTCGACTGCAAGAACAAGAATAAAGTTTGTAATGAAGGAGAAATAGAAATCTTAGGGGAAAGAAAGAATGTAGAGATGTACACGTCAGCGCCTGATCGCGAACGAAGCCGACGGCATTTATACATCTTGAGAGAGAGGAACAAAACGGACGGGGTGCTGAAGATGGATCGCACAGGAAAAACGACTGCAGGCCCAAAATGGATCCCTTCTTGGGCCACGAGCAGAACGTAGCCACGGCCACATCTCTCGAAATCGTGGCCTCGTGGTGTCGATGTCATCCCATTGCCCTTGAGCCAAAAGGAGCTTTTCAAAAGGGCACTTCTGTAGAAATATTATTTCGAGCGATTGGTTGTTTTGTTGCCGCGCTTGCAATGTCAGACCATGATTTCGGATCGCAGGCCACAGTTTCGCGATCCAAAATCGTGGCCCTCACAGGTTTCGACTCGTTATCCATCCGTATCACCGGTTTAAAACAGGCTCACAACGTAGTAATGTGAACTACTAGCAAAATGGTGACTGCTAGTAAAGTTGTGTGGAAGCTACACCTGAGGTTAGGACGTCGTCGTTCTTTTGGCGCTGTGTTGACACGTGAACGTCGGCGTCATTTCACCCCGAGGTTGGGACCTCACTTTTCTTTTGCGCAGTGCTGTCACGCGAATGCTGATAATCGGGGAACTAGATTTCTGCCCTTTTAAATTTTGTTGTATCTTCACTTCTGGATTTCTGCACTTCGGTATTTTTACCCTTTCAAAATACTGTACATATAAACACTTTATTAAAAAAAATCTCGCCCGAATCAGATGACAACTCCATGCTTTCCGGGATGGGTAAGAAAAGAAGATAAAGTAAGCTAGCTTGATGAAAATTACGTAGTCATTAAGGGTACATTTCAAAGTTCATGCTGCTTCCCTGTAGCCCTATATATCTATCTTCATTCTGCTAAATTCTCTGCTTGTAGCCTAACCATTGTTTTAGATTCATTAGTCGTGGAACAGCTCTAGCTGTGGAACCGGCCCTTGTAGTAGAACAACTCTAGTCGTAGAACAGCTCTAGTTGTAGAACAGCACTTGTGGTGGAACAGCTCTAGTCTTGGAACCGCTCTAGTCTTGGAACCGCTCTAGTTGTAGAACAGCCCTTGTGGTGGAACAGCTCTAGCCGTGGAACAGCTCTAGTCTTGGAACCGCTTTAGTTGTAGAACAGCCCTTGTGGTGGAACAACTCTTTTGGTGGAACAGCTCTAGTCTTGGAACCGCTCTTGTCATGGAACTGCTCTTGTCGTAGAACACCTTTGTCATGGCCTTCTCTGTCCATCTAGTAAATATTGCTAGAATGACTGAACATCTAAAAGAGCTGACTGCTAGAAGACAGCTGTGATAAGCAATGTTTAACTACCTCTTGCATTTTACGCTCGGTGATATAATATATATATAGATCTGCTCGGTGATGGATTATGTTAGCCATAATCGGCTTAGTAAACCGGAGTTCGGTTGTAATTTACAACGAACTAAAAAAGTTTCCATCGCAGTCCATTTGCTGCCAAGGTAAACAGATTCTACCAGAATGGGGGACTAGTAGACGACTAGCTCAATTATATATACTAGTAATCTATCACGGCGGATAGGTAGTTTAGCTGTCTGCTAAAACCCTGCCAGACTACTACTGCTACTTTTTTAATGCTGAGACTTCTCCTGTCATAGACCGTTTCTCAGGGATTTTAATATATTTTAAATTTGACCGATGATAACAGAATACTGACTGTTCTCAGTAGGTGTCATACCACCTAGAAGACGGCATGCCCTTCTTGACAGCTAACTAAAGCTTAGCAGCGCCTAGTCTTGGCGTCACCTGCGTCCCGTAGGACTTGGCCATTTCTTGGCACATTGATGCATGCATGTTTTGCATATCTGAACTCCTGCAATTTTAGCAATTTGCATTTTTTACATTTTGCATTTTTGCATTTTATATTTAATTCTGCATTTGTTCAGATTGCCTACTCTGTTTTCTCTTATTAAGCATTATACAAGTAGGTGCAGCAACATCCTTTTTGAATATTGAAAAATAGATACGCAGTAGCTTGAATTCTAGAGGTAGATTGGCTTTAACGAATTATTTCTTACCTCCGAGCAAGTTAAACGTTCACATAGGTACCTCATTGGCCTTCCTATAATAAATGCACGCTGCAGATATCTAGTCCGCTGTCAGAATCGATTATCTGCTTTAGTCTGACAAATTAACTGGTTGGCAAAAGCCAATGATGCGATGTGAGTCCATTGACTCTTGCAGGAGAGATGTCCTGTCCACATGTTCAAACTCATATTTGACCCCAATGTCGTGTCCGTATAGGATATCCTCGATATTCTGGGACATCAGATGACCGACCTCTTGGAGGAAGGCGCCCCTGTATTCATACAGAACATCTAAAAAGATTGTGAATAACTCGCTTGGCAATTTTTCAAACCTGGTGAATGTCAGTAACTTAAATATCATAGTACTGTATGGCCTTTGTGGCGACGAACTTGTCGGTCCCGATACGCAATTCACCACATGGAACAAGAGCAAGAATTCCCGATTTAAACTTCTCCTGTAGCAGGTACCAATTCCGTGCAGAGTTGAGCCGATTCTTCAGCCTCGTGTGCTTTTCAAGATACTCACTATCGTCCGCCGACGGATTTCTCCTGTCTGGCACTTTGAGGTGGGGATAGAACATCGTTAGCAGATCCCGGAAGGCGCTGGAGTCGGCTCTGGTCGATCCCCCGAGGCTCTGCTGAGCCGCTACCCTAGCCGACCGTCGACCTTTATACTCCTTCTCGCATTCAAGTCGGCGACCCAGCAGCTGGACCAGGAAGAATCGACGGAGAATCGCACGGATCGTGGTCCCGGAATCTAACGCATCTAGCGCTTTCATCAGCATTGCATCATCTGCAGAACATGGCGCTATCAGGTCATGGCGCTCGCGAGCAGCCTCGCAGGCCTCGGCTAGCTGCTTGAAGGCCAGGGGACTCGCGACCGCAAAAAACAGTCGGACCAACAATGGCACTTTTTGATGATGCTTCGCTTCAATTCGCCGAACCAAGACGCGGTAGACCTCGTCCGGCTCGAAGATCTTGTGTGGGATAGGTGCGAGTACCGTACAGAGCTCAAGCATTTCGGTAGGCTGGTCTGCCTTGGCCGAAACTTTGGGCCGCCTTTTTCTAGGCCGTGAGCTCTTACCATCGGCCTTGGAGTCAGAGTTTCTTTTCAGCTTGCTGGGAAGGGCCGACAGGCCACCGGAAGCAGTCATTTCCGTGCTATTGTGCGCCATCTTGCTCGTCAGCACTGAATCTGGGCGTGAATGCAGTGCAACTGGGACACAGTTGCTGCTAGGCACTCTAGGTGGTGCATCTGGTGAGTATTTGTCTTCAAGCTGCTCGGGAGCATGGTCGTCTTGGGTGGCAGCGCTATCACTGGTGTTTCCGCTTTGTGCTGTTGGTGTCTCGTCGCACTCTGCACCTCTGTACTCTCTATCAGCTGGATTCCCCATAATTCTCGCTACACTTACTCGTCACCAACGGTCTTCACGGCTGCTGGCGGGTCGCGAGAAGCAGCATTTCCAAGTTCATAGCAATCCACCGTGGGAACGAATGGAGGTGGCATTACATCTGACGGCACACACGTCATGTCATCGGACGAGGGTGTGGAGAAACAGTCGGAAATCCGAACTTCACCTGCATAGTCAGTGTCTGACAAAGAATAAGAAATGTGGTCGCGAGCATATTGCTCTGCAATATGCGTTATTCCGTTGGCCAGTTGCCACAGTTGGGAAGCCAGAAGAAATGGCTGGCAATCTCCACGCTGATGTAGCCGAGAAACGAGTGACTGGATCAGAAGGCAGAGGCGCTCTACAAACATTGCATCATCCTGCAAACATAGAGAATCAGAGCCCACCCTGGATCCACAGAGAGCCATGTTTACTAAACTCTTGTCGAAGTCGTATTGATGGAGAAGAACGCCAACTGAGAAAGGTGTTAATGTGGTCACGTGATAAAACGATTTGCGGATAGTCACTATCCGCAACTTCAAACTTGCCAGGCAACACGTTTTATGGCCAGGGCCACGCTGTGAAAACCGTGGCCCCTTCAAATGGTCGCGCGACCGAAGTCCGTGGTAATCTCGAAGAAGAGGCCACTGTCA